CAGGACCTTGTCCAGGCGGGTCTTGAATATCTCCAGAGAAGGAGACTCCACAGCCTCTCTGGGCAGCCTGTTCCAGTGCTCCGTCACCCTTAGAGTGAAGAAGTTCTTCCTCATGTTCAGATGGAACTTCCTGTGCTTCAGTTTGTGCCTGGTGCCCCTTGTCCTGTTCCTGGGCACCACTGAAAAGAGTCTGGCCCCATCCTCTTGACACCCACCTTTAAGATATTTATAAGCATTTATAAGATTTATTTACTGTGTCCAGTTCTGGGCTCCCCAGTTCAAGAAAGATGAGGAGCTACTGGAGAGAGTCCAGTGGAGGGCTACAAGGATGATTAGGGGATCCCCAGAGGTCCCTTCCGACCCCTACCATTCTGTGATTCTGTGATTCTGTTAAATGACTTTGAGCAAATCATGTCTCCCCAGTTTCCCATTTATAGTAAGAATATTACTGCTGCGCTCCTTAGTGATGCTTATTGGATGCATGGATGTGAAGCCCTGTTTCTCAGGCAGCGTAAGGTGTTGTCTGCCTGTGCCTGTTCACCAATAGTAAAAATTGTGGAAGTGTTTAAAATCCTAAAAATTGCTAATGCAAACTCTTGTGTAAAATGAAAAATAAAGTCTTGATAATGCATTCACCATTACTCCTGCTACTGAATCCAGGCACTCCATATGACCTGGCAGGACAGACAGGAACAGTCAGGAAAGGATTCACAATTAGCATTTTTGGCAGGTTATCTAGAACAAATAGTAACATTTATTCCACTCTGATAATTCCTGATATTCTACCCTGTGGGATATCTGCCATGAGTTAGAGGGCTCAGAAAAACAGTGCCTCGTTTCACATGAAGCCTGCCACAGCGGGATGATACTTCTATGTGTTTTTAATAAACTTTAGTCAGCAGAGTGATTTAGTACCCGTTGAGCACTTTACATGTCTTAGCCATGATGGTTTTACTCCATGAGGAACCACCCTAAAGCCTAGTTTCCTATCTTGTGAAACCTCATCCTTCAATGAAATCAAGCATCTCCACTCTGTCAGAAACCTCGGCCAAAGCGGATGTTCTTTTAACACCATTCCCTCTGAAGGACCGATGCTAATTGTTGCTGTTTGTTTACTTTACACATATGTTTCACATGCTTGTCACTCACTGAAAAGTGCTGCCCAGCACAGAGACATTTTGATAGCAATGGAGACAATCTCCATTTACCACGCATCCTTTGACGAGGGAAGCTCCAACAGGCAAGGACAAGACGGTGTTGTTCACTTACCGGTGCATGCACAGGCTGCCACGTCGACAGCCTGACCAGCTGTGTTCCTGCAGTGACTCCTCTGGCCATGTCAGCACTCGAGTCGACAACACAACTTTGCTCTTAAAATACACAGCTGGTCCACAAGCATTTGTGTTTTCAAAATGGCATACATCGTTTTCACTTTCAGAAGAAGTTACAATTATCCTTTCTTCAAAAAGTTAACTTGTGGCATTTTTCATAGCTTTGCTACTTTTCACAAACTGCTGCTCCAGCTATAAAAGGGCAGTGTGAGGGAGCAGGACTGAGATAAGACCTTTCCCCCACTCAAACTGTGAATTTCTTTCCATTTTTTTTTTTTTCTAATCTCACTTGCTCAGATAAGCATACACATAGCTATTTGCAAACAGAAAGGATGTATTATTGCAAAGCTATACAAGAGTATTATAAGGCTATGTTTTCAAAGTCAACAGCCTTGATCCTCCAGTCCCAGCACTGGGAAAAATCCCCACCCTATTAAACTGAGTGAATGAAATTCATCCCAGTGCCATATGCCCACAAAAGCAGCTGAATCACATATGTTGTACGTAGGCTCCTCTTTGAAAGTGGAGGCATGCTGGCTTACAGATGGTTCTCCCTCCCGCTCTTACCCAAGGAGAGCTTTTCCAGAGTGTGCAAGCAGTAAAAGCAGTTTTGTGGAATAAATACTGCAAGATGTCAGCTGATTTCTTCAGCCCTGGTGCTACTACAAAATAATGTCCAGAACTGCTTTTACAGGTGCTGCCCATCCACCACTAGTTTTACGGATGTAACTTAGGTCTGAGTTCCAATGGAGCCTAACTGAAACGGCAATTTCAGCTGCGATAGGTAAAGAGAGGGGCTCATGATCCAGTCTCCCCCGTGCACTCAGCTCTGCTCCTGCTTCCCCCTCCAAGCCCCCGACGTAGGTGCAGCAGGGGAGCGAGCGGCAGCCCCCCAGACAGCAAGCGCTTGCTCTCACCAGTGCTCTGCCCACGGTGCAGAAAGCGCAATGCCCCCTCCCATGGAGTAGCTCTCTTCAGCGTCTCGGAGGCAAAATGGGTGCCAGTGAAGCGTCAAACCTGTTACTTTCTTTGCTCAGTCATTGTAGCTTTCATAAACCATGTGTGTTGCCACTTCTTTTCATTGCCTTTTGTTATTCTTTGAAAAAATGAACTCTTCCACTCCACAACACCAGAAAAAAAATCTTTTATTTACAACATTTAAGAACAAAAAGGTATATTTTTGGAACTAGATGACCTCTCAGTAACAACACAGCGTCACATACTGGCTAGCCAAGCAGGCAAGAAGACACCCTGGCTGCATCATGAGTGCCCCATGTCTCCATGCAGTGCTGATGTGAGTGCCCTTCCCTTTCAAACCCACAGAAACAGACTACAGAGATTTTTTTTCTCCTCCACAAATCCCTGCAGCTGACCTTAGGCCCAGGAGTCCAGGACCATTTTCTCCCCTTTTCCTACCCTGCCTGAAGTTAAGGCATACCGAGAAGTAAATTGATGATTTTCCTTGCTTTAGAGATCAGGCATGGAGAACCTTGAGATGCAGTAAAAGCTAAGGCAGTTTTCAGACGCAGATGGGGGCTGCTTAAAGAGAAGATCGTGGTCTCCGCACTGAACTCCCAGCGGCTGGCTCCTGCTGGAGCCCCATACAACAAAACGGTGGTGACCTCAGCACTGAACTCAGTGGAGGCACTGGAGATACTTCACATTAAGCAGCGAAGCACCACAACACAGAAGGTTTTGTTTGCTTCTTCCTGACCTACACATCCAATAAAGAGTGACAGTGAATCTGGTCACCATCTTTCATGGGAAAATAATTGACAACTAGGAAATTAATTCCTCAAAGTAACTTTGAAAGCCTCAACCAAACTGTCCAAGATGATTTCTTTGTAAAAACCGACTGTTAGTGTGGAACAAATTAAGGGATTGCAACCCCTTGCAAGTCCCCTTGATGTCAATGGGAGTTCTGCACTTACCGCTGGAGCCAGGGTTTCACTATTTGTCAAATGGATTAAAAAGAATTTAAAAGTATAGAAAATACTAATTAACTGATCATTTAGAAAATCATAGTAAGTGTTACTCATCAGTGTGTATTAACTGCAATAGTTATAACCACCCTGATGGTAAAAAAAAAACCATTTATGTAATTCTCTGACTAATTTCGCCCTGCACATGCAAATAAAAATCAACTAAAGGCTACTACAATAATAACAAATATCTAACCAACAAATGTCAAAGGCTGTAATCTTATCACATTGGTTTTGGAAACCTTTACATAACTTGCATAATTTAAATATTTACAAAATATAAACTTTCTTGTCTTATCAAAAATAGGTCTTTGCACATTTAAACAACAGAAATCCTTTCACATAATGCTTTTTAAGCCAGGCATTAAATCATTGCATAAAAACAAACAACCTTTCACAGATGTAAAATAAAATTGAGCCAACATATGGAGGGGGAGAAAATGTTATCAATGACAGTTTAAATATTCCAGTGGCGTGAGCCAATCTGTAAGTTACATTGTGCATTGAACTTACTTGGGATGCAACCTAATGAAAAGTTGTAGATGCTGCTTCTATAAGAGAAAGCAGTGCTTTAAAAAATCTTTCACTATGGCAGATTTCTTTGGGCTAATTATTGTATGTTTAACTGTGAAAATGATGGTAAACCACCAGTGAGATGGTTGAACATGGCAGGTTACTGCATACAGTCCAACAGCAGGGTGATGACTGGCTGACTCGCAAATTGTGCGTTCAGATACTGAGGAAATGCCTGCAAAGGATTTTATTTCCTTCAAATACCACACTATATTTCTCTCTGTCCCTCCTCAGACCTGTCCTTTGTGCGTTTGAAAGACAACCTATAAAAAATGCCAAGGTTGCTATTTGGTGCACTGTTCACGTTCACCAAGCTGTGCTCCAGCCCCTCTACTCTGGACCCAGCTTGCTCCACGCCGACAGACCCTCCTCGTCCACCCAGGCAGTGCCCGTCTCTCTGCGGTCACACACGTTTCTCAGTACCAGATGCTTTTCTGCACATTACGCAGAAGACAGCTTTCTGAATGGTCACAAAGCAAACGCTCTATGGTCAACAGCAGATTATTTCCCCTATCCTTTTTTTTTTCCCAAAATCTGCAGAAATGAAATATCTAGTGGATCACCTAGTCCCAGTTTTAAAAACACAGACATAAAGATTATATCTGATGTGTCTGACACGCCCTCGTAACTCTTTAGTCTCGGGCTAATGAGATCTTGAGTTTTCTCCACTGCACCTACTGACCACACGGATCTTCAGGATGTTGTGGCTGTTGAAGCCTTGGAAAGTTTAGTGGCTGTCCCTGCTCATGGAGTTACATGTTGAAGTGTGTCACCAGGAGTCCTTTTCTTGTTGTTTCAGCTGTCCCTGCGTGCAGGCTGCCGTTCACTCGGTTGCTCTTTCGTACGCCAAATGCTTGTACTACCCCTTCTCTGGCAACACCCGTTCCCCCTGAGGCTGATCCCCCCCCAAATCCCGCACGGTAAGAGTAATTACTGCTGCCTTGCTGTGTGTACCACACGGTGCGGGACGGATTGGCCGTGTGTTCTGCCCTTCACCTTACTTGCAGGTGTGTACGTCGGTCATGGTCTCGCACCTCCGGCAGCGCACGTAGCAGCACCAGACGAACTTGCATTCACACCTTTCCACGTGCCTGACAACATGGGTGTTGTACCCGCGCCCACAGCACAGGAGGTTGCAGCCGTCCGGTCCCTCCGAGGTGCGGTTACATTCCCTCCCCTGAGTCCCGGGGATCCCCAGCTTTTGGTCTTCCACACAGTAATTGGGCGATTTGTTCAGATACAGCAGGTCGTCCTTCCCAATTGGTATTTTTCGCTGGCTTTTCTCTTTCCTGCGTAGCTTTTTTTTCAGTATGTCTGATATTTGTATGCTGTTTTCATACTTTTCCTTTAAAAACCGGCCAATCTTTTCAAAGGATGACATGGTTTTCCAACAAGTTTTCACAGCACAGGACCCAGAAACACCATGACAACGGCAGTCCACTGACATCAGCTTTGCTACAGCCTGAAAGCAAAGGGAGAGCGACATTTGGATGTGGGCTTTCACTTGTTTGGAACACTGCCTGACATAAGTAACACAGAGGTCTTGAAGTTTTTAACATTACTGCTGCCACTGCTGTTTCAGTGATGGGGAAACCAGAGCACAGGTGGATAAATGTTAGGGATCAGGTTTCCAACTCCAGACCCCCACTGTGGGAAGCCTGATCCTCAGAAGTGCTCTGCATTTGCACTTTGCAATGGCAGCAGAATCATCAAATCACAGAATGCTTTGGGTTGGAAGGGACCTTTAGAGGTCATCTAGCCCAAGCCCCCTGCAGTGAGCAGGGATAGCATAGCAATACCGAATCGCAGTCATGAGAGCTTGTATTTCTGGCTGGCTTCTCACTCTGGAGGATCCTAAATACCTGAAACCACACGTCCTGTGACGCTCCTCCCACCGCTGGAATGCAAACAGCCCTCGTGGGGTAGAGCAAAAGCAGAAGAAGGGATAGGGCAGGTAACGGCACCATTCCTATGTTGGAAGACATTTACTAGGCAGCACTATGTCTTCTTTTCAGGGTGCCTTGCAGCTACCATCAAGGTCACTAAACATTCACAACACAGTCTGTAACCAAGGCCATGGGAATGCCTTGAAGTCGCACAACAGTGTCTGTGTGGCCAGTGTGGCTCAGCATCTGAAGCAGCGCAGCGTACGGCTGGGAGGCACCTCAGGGCAGACCTGTGTTGGAAGAGCAGGAGGATGACCATGTCTCTAAGCTCCACGGAAAGTCTACCAAAGGAGCCCCTTACAGCTCAGCAGAGGTGTCTTCAGGTCAGGTATTCTGGAGTAGATCTCAGGTGCTTCTCACTTACAGGATCAAGTCCTCTTCTTCTAGTTTAGGCATACTAGTACTCTCATGGGTTTGCAGTGTTTCCAGTTGCATAATGGCTCTAATTAATATTATTTGATAGCTGCCTTCATATTACTTTTGTAACTTTCAATGTTTTAGCAAAATTTCCACAGTTATGACCAACACTAAAATACCCTTAGATGGGCTACTTTTCCACACCCATGCAGAAGCAAGCACTGGGCTGAACAATAACTATCTGACCAACAATAGGAATCTGCAGCCTGCGCTAAGCTTTGGCAACACACAAGAATTTTGGCTCAGTTTACAGGAGACCAAGCCTCAAAGAACTGGAATCTGCAGACAAGTAGCAACTTTCTTTATCTGGGACTACAACTCAAATAGTCAGCAGACAATCAGTATAATACTTCCTTTTGGAGTATCTAAGAGTCATAGTATAAAATTAGACTGGTGACACATCTCACCTTAGAGTTTGGAAAAGCACACAGAAAAACCATTGCACACACAGATACAGCAAAAGGACAAGGTATCATAATTTTTGTTTTGTTTTGTTTTACCTTTTCATTAACGTAGTCTCTGGAGCCATCCTGTAGACTCACACGGGGCATTGGTTAATGGTGTGGAAAGCCCATGTTACTGTCTTCCATTTTACTAACCTTTCCCCCACATTTCATTTCCACAATCAAGGCAATTTGGAAATGTAACAGAAAGTCAGAATTTCAGATTTCTCTTGAAACTTCTCATGCAGCAAGGCCAATACAGATTCATACTATTCCTCTGTGGAGGAACCACTATTTCCCACAAAATGGGGAAGACGAATAATGCCCGTAACTTCAGGATGTTTATTAAATTTCACCCGAAACCTTCATCTATCCCACAGCTCCCACAAATATTAACATCTATGTCTTTCTCAAACTGTCTTAGGAAATTTAAAAACAGAGGAAAAAATCTATCTAACACCCTCCTCTGGTTTCCCCTGAGAAAGTAGTTTCATTTGTGCCTGTTCCTAAGCCTTGATTCTGCAGTGAGATCAGAGCCCTGAAATCCTACTGGGCCCTACTGACCCTGTGCAGGACCAGAAATAAACTCCAGTCCCAGACTGATTATTTGTAGCTCAGGCAGCACAAATGCCACCCTCAAAGTTTCAGAGCCAGTCAAGGCACGGAGCAGATAAAATGAGACGTTTCTACTCTGCATGTCAAGCTGGGACTTTTCATCACGGTGAATGTGGTCATTGAAGCTTGGGATGAGTCCAGGGTGGTTAAATCCACTGATTTCAGTGGGAGTCGAGGCCTCCTGGCACGTTCTGGCCCAAGAGATTGACACAAGCCCAAGTGGGTATTTGCATATAACTCTTCAAATGTTATTAAAAATACACCTGACCAAAGCGTTTGCTTGGAGTCACATCTCTGGGGAACAAACAGGACCTATTTGTTGGTAGAGGTTGCTACAGAAGCCAAACAAGCAAGGCATTCAAAGAACCGTTAGCAAGAGCGAGCAGGTGTATGCCCTGACCCAGAAGAGCCATTAGCCTTTGCAAACTAAACCTGGTGAAGTCATGCACCAGTACAGGAGATATTTCCAGGTGCTGTGGATTGCTTTTGGGATTGGAGATTCTTCCCTATCCTGGAATAAATAAGAACATTGCAACAAGCATACCCTCACCCCAGACCCTCACCCCAGAGTACACACAGACTCTTCCAGTGGCAAATCAACTGTCAGTAATTCTTGTAGATATTTATCTTCTCTTCTTCACAGGCTAGTTTCTGTTTAATAGACAGACTCGACCTGGTGCTCGTATCTCAAGAATCTATCAATAAGGAAATCAATGGGTAGTCAGAATATGCATCATTAAGATGTAAGAGTGATTGAGGCAGATGAGAATTTGAGATCCAAGGACAGAAAGTATTTGTTAGAATACAGACAACCTAATAAAATGTCTAATAACCTAATAAATCAAAAGGGAAACACAATAGCAAAAGATAAATTTTACACACAATTTACAAACAGAAGAGATTTAATAGCATTTTCCAATTTCCAATCATTAGTTATTTGTATCAAGGCAAGTAACTAGAATCTCAAAGTAGTTTGAAATCACATTGTGCTGTAAGATTTCTAAGGTTACAGCTGTAATCCTTGCTTTCACTGCAGTATGACAGGGTTCTAACTAAGGAAGAAACAACAGGGGAAAAATATACGGTTTGGCTTGGGGAAAGAAGTGTACTTCCAGCTCTGCTAGAATCAGGCATAGTAAAATCTGGATGAGGCAGAAGGATCCACAAATTGTCAGGGGAAGCACTGGACATGTCTGCTAGGTGCTAAGGGTGAGTTAGTTACTTCCATGTGGGCAAGTGGCCCAGCAGATGACACTCAGAGTCTTTCTCTGAAGATGAATTAATGAAAACTGAAGGGAGACAGAGGTTCTAAACAGGAGTAGAAACTGGTGTTGGAGTCTCAGGTTAATATCAAAACATAAAAATGCAGTATATATTAGCAGTGTACGGACCACCAGAAGAATGCAAGAACTACAAATGTCATTAAGCGTGGAAGCTCTTCAGAAGACCCATGGCAGGTTTTTTTGTGTTTTTATTCTGTGCTGCTCACGATTCTCACATGAAGCTTTGGTGTTTTAGAATGATTTATGGTGTCATCACAATCATGCATGACCCTGGGCCGTCACTTCCCAGCTGCTCGGATGGGCAAGTTTTCTGGTTGGGCTCCAACATGTCTTGGGTTGCCTCTACTGCCAGCACAGAGAGCTGACATCTTGCTCTGGCTGACCACAAAACACACCGCTGGATCTCAGGCTGCCACGTGACCTTTAATGAACAAACTCCCATAGCTGAATATCTTGCAAAATTCAGGGACTAGGAATCTTCTCTTGCCATTTTCTGCAAACAAACCAAAGATGGTGCCTATAGACCCGACGCAGCCTTCTGGTGGGACAGGGCTGCAACACATGCCTGTGTCTCAGCAGCATACAGTTACTGGGATGCACAGAGTTACTGGGAGCGTGGGTTCCAGCCTTGACCACAATCAGTTAACAGAAGGAGTGGCATGGGGTGGGAGTGTGTGGCTAGAACAGGGAGGTGGGCAGAAAGGAGAAAGGGTTGTCAGTGGAATCACGGTTTGTATAGCCCTTAATCCCAATTAATGCTTAGTATCTCCGGGCTAAGCTCTCTGTTTGCAGGCACTGTTCTCAGCTGTGAGATGGGGGCTGCCAGTACTTGTTTTGCAATGGGAACTGATGCCTGTAATCAAACAGCCTGATTTAAGCCACTGGTAGAACTAATAGGACTACTTATGAAGACAAACACACGTCCTACAGGAGGTGCAGCACTTCAGCACAGTTGCAGGCTGTTGGTGGGTCTGTTACCAACCCACAAGAATCAATAAAAATAAACTCTCTGATGAGCCAAGCTATTTCAATGTGAGAACACAAGTCCTGCAGATCAAATATATTTCCACTAGTGGAAAACTGAGAAGAATTCTTCCATCAGTAAAAAAATACTAATACAATAATTGTCAACCCATAGTGCCTGACTCCCCTCGTTCTTTTATACAGGGAGCAGAGGTGCCCAACTCACAGATGCACACTGAACATTACAATGCTAAAAGTTGATGAGCATGTATCTCGTGGCAGAATAAGGAATGAAATCTGGATCTCCTGAGGTTCAGGTTAGTATCCTAAATGGAGGACAACGCAGTGAAGGGATCCTTACTGTTTTAAAATTGATCTTGGATTTGACTATGAGATGTAGAAACGTAAAATGGCATTTTGTACGGAAATGGGAAAGGAACAAGAGAATTCTGCACATACCAGTTCCATTACTACCTCCAAAAAACCACAGAAGTGTTGTCCCTAGAAGACTGCTCTTGCAAGACAAAGACCCAGGAACATGATAGCATGGATTACAAAAGGTCATAAGGTACCAAAATATATTGCAAAATATCCTTCTTGTAAGCCCCGAAACATGAAGGTCAACATTTTCCAACATCTCCTAACTAAAGATTTCGAAGCTACAAAAAATGAAGAGTTCTGCTAAACTTTACTTCAGCTAATATTGCTGCTAGAAATCCCAAGAACCAACAATAAACATTCTCTTTCACTCCAGACAGTAGTCAAAATATTTGCTTTGTCCTACAGTTTGCTATTAAATTACAAAATATTTATGCATGGAAGCTAACTAAATACTCTGCATATTTTCTTCCAAGATAATGAACAACAAATACACCATTGATGATACAAAATCAGCGAAATAAGGGTCTTCTGGCCTTTCAGGCTTGCACTGGATGGATTTTTTTTAAAATCACAGTGTCTTGGAAAAGGAATGAGTGACTGTATGGTGGGCACCAAATAAGCCCGTGACAGCATACTTTGAGAGCCTTGCTGGAGAGCTCGGTATTGTGAAAAGCCTGAAAGCCCCAAATCTCCTCAGGACCTAACGGATCCTGCTGGGCCAGATTCTGCCACATTCCCGGAGACTGACAGCCTAGTCTAAGACTCTGTTTTCGTGAAGTGATGTATTGTAAGAGGTACCAGTCAACACGAATAGTAATAGAAGATACTGCAGCTGCATGACATTAAAGATGTGGACTCAGAATCGATTGTATTTTCAGGCATATAACCAACATCTAAGATAACTTGGATCCTGTCAAAAATACTATTCATGGAAAATGAAGATTCGCTTAACCACATCATCCAACCCCTTGTAGCTTTAGCTCACTGAAAATGCTTTATCTTCGGCTGAGTGCACTCTTCCCCTTTGCCAGTCAGTCCTGCCCCCACGACGTAGGTGGCCCAGCCGCCTGGGTGATTGCTGTAGGTGAGAGCAGGGAGCTGATCCAACTTCAAAGAAAGCAACACCAAAAGAAAAGTTTCTCTTCTAGGCTGTGTGTGTGCATGTTTTTGGTTTTTTAAAAGCTGAACGGTTCCTTGGTATGGTTCACAGCGCAGGACCCCAGACAGTTGGGCTGGGACACCTGCAGCAGTGAGTGATGAGCACGAGGATGATATGGGAAGACCATAAGCAAACGCTGTCACTGAAGACAAAAGGCCAGCAAACTCTTGCTGCTGCTAACATAATGCCAAGGGCAGACAAGAGAACAGGGTAGCAAAGAGAAGACCTGTGTCACTGCCACCTAAACACAGAAATCACATCTGTCTTTCTCTTTGCAGTTCCTCTGGAGCCGTGCAGACTTCTTCCCTACAACTCTACAAATGTGATAAATAACCCTTTGCGCTTTCCCTAAGGAAATAATCTCTTAATGTTCTGTTCCTCTTATTAACATCCCCTACTACACAATACCAACCACCTTTCCTTAGAGATGATTTAGGTGACTGGCATCTAATTAAACTCACAGTAACTGCTTTCAGCATCTACCTAGGTTTAAAGTTTGCTTCTGCAACTTCAGTCCTGCAAAGGGCCTATGTCCCTGAAAGATTTTCTGCTTTTCCAGCTATACGGCTTAAGCAAATTAAATAACATATATTACCTTGTAAACTGTAAACATCAGTTTAAATTAAAATAACTTGCAATGATACTGCCACGGCCCTTTTGATGGCTTACTATGGCTAACCCCCACCTAGGATAGGAAAATTGTTTTCAGTAAAACCCACTGATGCTGCTTCTGGCTACAGGAAATTACTGAGTTACAATAGAGTCCATCAGTATGTGTAGTCAAAACCAGAGGTTTTCTCCATTTCTTTAGTTATAGCTGTGTCACTGAGCAGAACAGATTTAAAGTGTTATGGGGCCAGAGAGAGCCATTAAACACTTACGAAGTTAAAACCTCCAAGGTAAAGCAGAGAAAGTAATTTTAAATCAAGAACCTGAATCCAAGCCTCTGCCATTCCAGATGTAAGCCCCAAGCACTAGATTACAGACTCTCATCTCCCTGTATTACCCGTTTCTGCCCCCATTTATCATCCTCTGCAGAGCAGGGCAGGGGACCCAGTGTCACACACCCACATACACGTTTCCTCTGCAACCACGGCTTTGATGTCCTTTGGGCTGAAGAAGAGCTATCCAAAGCCAGTCTCCTCTCACTGCTCTGACGGGTGCCCTAACCAGCGGGCTACTTTAAAATAGAAGTGTCATTTCCACCCCATCTTTTAAAAGAAAATGTTAACTCTCGATTTCCTCTCTGAATGGTTTTAGACTTCTGCTCTCAGCCGCCAACCCCAGACTGTGGGTGGGTAACAATGCCTCACGTCCAGTCTGTCTACTCATTCCGTATTACAGAGAATTAGAAGCGTAGGTCATGATAATAACAGAATAATCAGTGAAAAAACTCCTCATGTATTGTGCTGATAACAAGACTATTTCAAGTTTGCTACAGAACATCAAATATCTATTTAAGATAACTCTAATTCTTATTTTGTGGATTTTACATTAACCTGTGGAGTTTAATCAGTTAGTTAAAACCAGCTCTGATTCCGAGTTGGTACACGTTTGCTCTGGCGCCGTTCGCACCGTTCGTGCCTTTGGCCCCACCCGTACCTGCAGTTGAGGACAGGTTGATGCCATGTTGTCAACGCAGGCGAACGAGCAACAGCTGCCCTTTCCGAACGGTGACACAACACATACCTGCCTCCCGGCCTCGCTGTTGTGCAGGTTCATCGCCGCCAGCCCGCTCCCGCTCTTGCCCGTTGCGTTCTTAACGGGCACATCCAGGAACTTTCTGCTGAACGCCATTCCGTAGTGGATGTCGTCGGAGCAGCCGCCCCAGTGCCAGCCCTCACTGGCTGAGCCACCGTGCCGCAGCGTGGTGTCGCCGGAGCACTCGGTTCCTGCGCTGCAGGATCGCGTCACCGAATGCACGAGGCCTGCCGACATCACGGCGTATATGAACGCGGTCTCCTTCGTCCCTACAAAGCAAGGCACGGATGTGTCACTTCACAACTCCCTCTGATTACCTTCCTGGCGGAGCTGTAGAAAGCCATTTTACAAGCCAGACTATTATTAAAAGGGAACAGTTACAGGCTTAAAGTCATCACAGCTTGGTCTGTTACAGTTAACTTGTTTCAAGCGGTGGATGTTCACATCCAGAAAAGACTTTGGGGCCCCTTCGTATGACCGGTGCTGCTTCTGGCACCATGCAATTTTTGGTAACTCCTTTCTAAATCTGGTTGGGAACTTTTATTTGCCGCAGAAGCTTTCAAGCCAAATAATTTTAATTATTAAAAAAAAAAAAATCAAACCCAAAACAAACCACACCCAACCCCCTTACTCTCCTCTCTGCTTTTCACTATTCTTATTGATTTGAAGAAGAAGAAAAGGTTAGTTCGGATCTCGGAGGAGGAACTTGAAGCTGTCAAGATCCCAGGTCGCTTTGGTATAGGGCCAGGACTTACCTCATGCTAAATTTAGCAAACATTGAGGTTGTTCTAATTCACAAGGGTTGCAAAAAGCCCCAAGAATCGTACACCACGCAGAAATCAGGATGGCACAAGGATATTTAGGCCACATGTTTTCTATTTAGGTCACGTGTTCTCCCTATAATAAGCTGGCTATGGGAAAGACAGCAGTATAAATAGCCTGTAACTGTTATACTTTACCTCAGAAGAACCACGGAGGGACCTGCCTGGGCCTCTTAGGCCAGTCCTGTTCTCTGAGACTTCTGGCATGGTGCGGCACAGATCTTTAAACCGTGTTAAGCAAGGTATACGCTCTAAGCAAACTGAAAACCAATGACTGCTCATTAACTGCAGCTGAAATTTCACTGTACTGGTTTTCACTGTTGTAAAAACAACTTGTTATTTCCAGTCTCCCGAATTTCTGCACACAGGCAGGAAAGTTTCTGTTTGTTTCTCCTGTCTGTATGAGTCTGTGGTGCTGGTACCATCATAAAACGCTTCCACGGGACATACCCGTGAAGCTCTGTGGGTCAGCAGTGCCACTCGCTTGTGGGTCTGCGGGAGTAGTCCCTCCCGTTGGACAGAAGGACGAACAGACAATGCAGACAGGTACCAGGATAAACTGCTCCCTGTTTTCGGTTTTTCTTTTCCTTTTTGGAATATGCATCACTTCTTATCACTAATTTTATGTTTCCATGGTTAATGTTTGGGATTTCTTTCTTATTGTATTGCAGTATAAAGTGAAGGTTGCACAGACCCAGAATGAAGTACAACAATACCTACATGCACGTTAATGGCTACGCCGAAATCACTGAGCAGTGTGCTCAAATGACACTTTCGGGATCAAGACCTTTGATAACGCTGTTTGACGCAAACAAAATGCCCTTATTTCAGCACGAATTTCAGCAATTCCATTACTAGTTCACCCAAGAAGAGCAGCTTCGGTCTTGCTGTGCTGAGCAACAGCACCGAACTGAGCACAGAGGACACATTTTAAAGCAATTCGCATTGCATACAGCGCTGCGAGCAGATTTTTACCTGCAATTGAGTGACCTTTTCAAAATCCTGTGTGTCATTTCCCCACTCATTTAGTAATTATGACATCAGGGGATAAACCCGACGGCAGCCTAAGAATAACAGCGTTTCAACACAGGTGAGTGGATCCAGTCAGAGGCACTGTCACCCACGGACACCGCGTTAAGCCAAAATCACAATAGGCAGCGATAATCCTGGAAAGGCAACGGCAGGTTCTGCCCGCTCCGTGCACTCCCTGTGCCTCTGCCACCCCGCGGGGCGGACGCGGTACCCGCCCGCCCAG